AAGACCCTCTATGAGATGGATTGATTCGGTGACTGGGGTAATCGGGATGGGTGTGTCAGAGGCAGTGCGGTTGGTGCAGGATAGAGCAGGGTTTAGGGCTGTTGTGCATAGGGTCGCTACGAGTCGCAAACAACTCGACGGCACATAACAACAACAACAATCTCCAATATCGGCTAAGTGTTTAATTCTCGCATTTTCTGCCATAACACTATTAGGCCCACCCCTACACCAATTCCATCAACCAAGGACTGGCTGTTCTTGCCCAGGGTCACATAGGCTGGACTGTCTGCTCTGCACCCCCTCAGTTCATCTTCAGCTCCCTCATTGTACCTAACCTGGAGGTCAGAGTCAGCCCCTTTATCAAAACGGGACAAGGCTGGCCTAGAGGAAGACAAGGCCCTGGTGTCTTTCATCCTTGGGGCTAAAGAATCCTATGGGAATGAGGCCAGCAATCACAAGGTAACTCTACAGGTGTCAAGAGATTAAGATGATTAAGTCTAAAAACTATAGCAGTCAGCTGTCCCAACATGAGGAGTGAGGGCATTCCAGGCAGCTGAGAGAACCACATGAGACACTGTTCTTAAAAGATCAGCAAATGACTAATCAATAGCACCAAAGTTCTTGTCAGCCCCTGCCCACTACACTCACAAATATGGCCATGGCATGAAGCGTGCCTCCTTGGTGTGAAGTGGCTCAGGAAGCAGCACCAGTGACACCACTCTGCCTGGCACACAAAGGCCAGAGGACAGCATAGGCAGTGCAGGGTAGAACCTAGCACTGTCAGGGCACTCTGCTGTGCTGCTGGACCTCAGAAGCTTCCAGTGTGGAAGAGCACCTGGGTGGGATGTGTGTGTGCTCAGGGATTGACTTGAGGGAAACAATATAGACCCAGGATATCCAGGACCTGTAACTATGTGGCAAGTACAACCCTAAACTCTAGGCAACAATCTGCAGAACCTTTAGAAAGCAAGCTCTACAGAGTGTGAAAGAACAATGCACCTCTGAGCAGTCAGGCCAATGGTAGGAGAGAACTTCATACAGGGCAGAAAGAGGGCCACACACCACTAGCCAGAGGCATAGCATACCAACAAAGGAGCTAAGACTCCAGGATCAGGAAGCAATGTGGAGGGGCAGAAAAACCAAGTACAACTGTGGGAAGGAGAAGAGGCACGGCTGACTGCAGCCCCATTTTCCCTCTGGAAGTCAGGTGCTGGGCAGATGGAGCCCTTTCACCTAGACATGCTGTGCTAGCTGAGGCCCAGCTGCACTGAGTGGACACGCCCTCCAGCTCAAGCTGCCTCATCCTTAGGTAGTGCAGGTCTAGTGAAGGCCTCTGCATACGTTTCTCAGCCAGGGACACATGGTAGTGCTCAAAGAAGATTACTTTGAGCCTGTCACCTACAATGGGGTCATAGTTGATGACACAGCCAATGGATATGACCTGCTTGATAATCATTTTGGCCACACGGTAACCAGGAGCTGCCTGGAAGAAGGGTTGAATGTAAAAGTGAGTACTCATGGGGACCTGGGAGGACACAGTCTTGGCACTGAGAGGATGTCAGTGTTGGGCAGGGAGGTGGTGGACTGGAAGGACATCAAGCAGGCTCACACAGGTCCTGCATGTGACCTGTCAGATAGCCCCTGCCCTAAACATGTTCTAAAAACACCCAGCCATAGGAGGCCCACATTCATTCTTCATGTGAACCTGAAGTACTCTGCATCTCTGACACCTCAGCTTCTGTCTGGCACTTCACCACGATTTCTGATTCCAGTGTGGTTTCCAAACATTAGGAGCTAAAATAATAAAGGTTAGTAGAACTGAAGCAGGAGTGGTATCCACTTCCTAAACCATATGCCTCTGGAAACCATGAACTTGGAGAACTAATGTTAGTTACAGAAAGGCTTCAGGCCTTTTGTTCATAGGGTCGCTATGAGTTGTGTTTGACTCGATGACCATCATCATCATCATCAACAACAACAGTAGAACTGGCTTCCAAGTTCGCAGAAAATCCAGGGAAGCCATTCTAGGGGCTGCAGCAGCAAAGGGAACATGGAGGGGAAAATCACTAGAAAATGAAATATAAGGATGTGAGGCACAAGCTAGAGACTATGAATGAGGTCATGAGTTTCATCTGCTAGTCTCCATAGGAAACCCTTGTTTGGGTCCTAATTGAAACAAATGGCTACAACTATCTGTGGTTTTAATTGGACAGGGGGACCATATTAACAACATAGGAGGTGATGCTGTGTTTTCAGAGTGACAATGGCATTGCATGGTCACTTGCAAAGTTCATATCTAGTGTATTCTTGAAGGAAAACTTTCTTGTGTAAGGTTATGACAAAGTGTTTTAAAGTGAAGTATCAGAATGGCTGGGACTTAAACTGAAGTTTAAACGGAAATGCTGGGAAGACAGGGTGTATAGCAAAACGTAAACCTGGAGAATCAAGAATCACCTATTGGATTTCTGTGATTTTTTTCTACCCTTTCCCTCCCCAATATGGTATTTCTCATAGAATTTTTAAAAGGGATAGGGGGAGTTATTTTTATAGTTCAAACCCTTTAAAATAAAAACCTAGTTTTGAGTCAATTACAAATCATGACCTCCTCCACTAGGTTATGAGCCTGTAGAGGCTCCAAAGAGTGGTTGGTAGGTTTACACCACCAACTTTTTAGAGAGTAGCCTAAAACTTCACCTTTTACACCACCATGGCTCCACATAATCTTTACAGATACTGACATATTTATTGATGAAATTACGTAAAATCTAGGATTTGTCTCAGAAGTCTGGTAGAAGGGAGAAAGCAGGAGCTGATCCTGTGCTTGAGTTGAGTTCACAGCTCTTGCCTCCAGCTGCCCCGCACATGGTAAAGTGGAACACAGGATGTGGAATAGCCCCTGGCCCCAGCTTGACTCTCACCTTACAGTAAGGAATAGAGTACCTGGCTAGAAAGAGGTCTGTCTAAGCCCTTCTGGATGTGTGCCAGCCAGGACGTGTAAGTTCTTTGTGTCCCTGGACAGGGACCAAGACGCCAAGGGATTCACAAGAAATTGAAATACAGCCCTGGGAGATCCAACACAAAGAAAGATATGGCCTGCCTAATAGCAATCTGATGGGATATGTAGAACAGATCTTTAGGGAGGCTGGGCTTTATGAGGAGGAATGTGGCATCAGGATTGGAGGAAGACTCATCATCAACCTGAGTCATGCAGATGACAACCCTGCTTGCTGAAACTGAGGAGGATCTGAAGCATTTGCTGCAGGTGAAGGACTATAGTTTTCAATGTAGATAGAAGTTCAATATCAAGGAGATGTAGATTCTTACCACTGGGCTAACTGACAATACCATGATACATGGAGAAGAGACTGAGATTGTTAACAATCTCAGCTTACTTGGTCCCACAAACAACATTCTTGGCACCAGCAGTCAGGAAATAAAAAGACACACTGTTGTGGGACAGTGTGCTGTCAAAGACTTCTCCAAAGTGCTAAAGAGCAATGATGTCAGTATAGAGAATAAGGTGTGCCTGATCCAGGCCATGGTCTTTGCAATCATTTGTTATGCATTGGAGACTTGGATAATAACTAAGGATGATGACAGAAGAAGAATCAGTGCCTTTGTGTTGTGGTTCTAGAGAAGAGTATTTAACATATCATGGACTGCCAAGAGAATAAACAGGTCTGTTCTGGAGAGGATGAGAACAAGCTGCTCTTTGGAGGCAAAGATTTTGAAGCTCCATCTCACATACTTTGGGCATGTGGCCAGGAGGCACCAGTCCTTAGAGAAGGACACAGGAGAGGAAGACCCTGGATGAGATGGATTGGTTCAATAACTGGGATAATGGGGGTAGTTGCATCAGAGTCAGTAGGATAGAGCAGGCTTCAGAGCTATCGTGTATAGGGTGTTGTCTATGAGTCATAGTCAACTTGATGGCACGTAACAACAACACAACAACATCCTCATATTTTAACAGTAGTGGCTTTATGCATTTTTTTTTGTTTTTATGTGACTGAGATATTTCACTCAGCAAAATGCTCTCTGGTTTCTCCCAAGTTATATAGTTGTTGTTGTGTTGATGTTGTTGTTGTTGTATGCCGTCAAGTCACTTGCAACTCATAGTGACTCTATGTACAACAGCCCTAAACCCTGCTCTATCCTGTGCCAATGGCACTGCCTCTGACACACCCATCCCGATTACCCCAGTCACTGAATCCATCCACCTCATAGAGGGTCTTCCCCTCCTGCGCCGTCCCTCCACCCTCCCAAGCATGATGTCCCTCTCCATGGACCTCTCCCTCCTTACAACATGTCCAAAGTATGTCAGACGAAGCCCCAGAATCCTTGCCTCCAAGGAGTAGCCCAGTTTAACCCTCTCCAGGACGAATCTGTTTGTTTTCTTGGCAGTCCATGGTACATTCAATACTCTTCTCTATCACCACAGCTCAAAGGCATCAATTCTCCTTCTATCCTCCCTTGTCATTGTCTAACTCTCTGATGCATAACAAATAATTGCAAAGACCATGGCTTGTATCAGACGCACCTTAATCTCCAGAGACACACCATTGCTCTTGAGTACTTTAGAGAGGTCCCTAACAGCAGACTTTCCCATTACAATATGTTTTTTGATTTCCTGGCTGCTGGTGCCAAGAGTGTTGACTGTGGAGGCGAGCAAACTGAAGCTGTGAACAATCTCAATCTCTTCGCCATCCATCCTGATGCTGCCAGTTGGTCCAGTGATGAGAATCTTTGTCTTCTTAACATTGAGCCTCAGTTCATACTGAAGGCTGTAGTCCTTGACCATCTGCAGCAAATGCATGAGGTTCTCTCCTCAGTTTCAGCAAGCAGGGTTGTGTTATCTGCATAATGCATGTTGTTAATAGATCTTCCACCAATCCTGACGCCACACTGATTGTGGAACAGTTATGTAGTATTTTAGAAAATTGTTGCTCTTTAGTATGCATATAGTATTCCATTCTGTGAATGTATCACAATTCTCAATCTACTAATTTGCTGATGGGCATTTGGATTGTTTTCATTTTCTTGATATTGTGAATAATGCTGCTATGAACATAGGTGTACATATCTTAACTCATGTCTCAGTTCTAATTTCCTTGAGGTATATTCCTTACAGTGCAATAGCTGGGTCACATAGGATTTCTATGTTCAGCTTCCCCCCCCCCCAATTAGATACCTCTTTATTTACTAGATTCTCCTTGTTCAAAGCTTCTCTTTGGACTATAGAAAAATCTGTACTTGTCCAGTGACAATTTGGTTATCAAGACCTGAGTGTTGTTCCACAATATCAGCTGATGAAAAGGAAATGCCAACTTGCCTTCCAGAGTGGTTTTACCATTTTAAAATCCCATCAGCAAAGCAGAAGAGTTCCAATTTCTCTACATCCTCTCCAACATTTATTGCTTACTGTGCTGTTAAACTTTGTTGTTTTTATCTGCTACTGGAGTGAGATGGTATCTCATTGTTGTTTTAATTTGCATTTCTCTGATTGCTAGCTATTTTGAATATTTCTTCATGTATTAAAGTCTTTTTAAAAATTGTTTTATTGATTTTCATATAATAATATTTTTACAGTGTTTCATTCATATACATTGTGTTTTATACAATCTTTTATGAACATTATTTTTCATACATTCATATACATTATCTTTTACATTATTTTTAAACTCTTTCATTTACAAAATTTGAATATATTGTTTTTCACACCAGATCCTTCCCACTTTTCTCAGCCTCCCCCATCAAATAGTGTAACCCCATGATTAATCCTCCCTCACTGCACATCCTCACCCCTGTACTTCCACTCTCCCCCGCCCCCACTTTGTATCCTCATACTCAGTCTACATACTGGTTTTATACAGTATTTGTTCTTCTGGAACTGAGTTAATTAACTCAGCATAATGCTCTCTAGTGCCTCCCAGGTTAGGTAGTAATTCACAAAATCATTACTCCTGCATGCTGCATAGTATTCCATTGTGTGAATATGCCATAATTTCTCAAATATATCTTCTCTCATTCTTCATTGTGTCTGGGAAATTTTCCTCTAGTAATTCTTCCACAACTTTTTCAATGTCTTTACTTGCTTCTTCCTGTTCTGGGATTTCAGTGATGCACATGTTATTTCTCTTGATGGTGTCCCACATTATTCTTAGGTTTTCTTCTTTTTCCTTCTTTTTTGAGGCTGCTTTTTGCTCTAGCAGATCAGTGCTGACAATTCTGTCTTCAATGTCACTGGTTCTGTGTTCCATCTCTTCAGCTCTGCTCATGTGTCCCTCCATCATGTTGACAGCATCTGAAACATTGGACTTCATATTTTGGATCATGGCTTCTTGTTTTTCCAGTGCTGCTAATGCCTTGATTGTTTTCTCTGCATTGTTCTGGATTGTTTTTTGAGCTCCTCCTGGTTTTTGTTTGTAGTATCCTGTAATTCTTCAAGTTTGTCTTTTATCACTGAATATACTCAATCATTCT